CCTGAACCCGCCCCCGCAAATTCTCTAGACTAAAGGAAGGAATTTGTTGTGTGGTGGCCTCTTCCCCCTCTCCTTGCCCATTTTTTTATGACTGAGGAAACCCTTTTATTGTATGCGAAATAAAAGCTTGATGTGGTCTGCCATTTTTTAATTTACCGTGGTATTAAATACAAAATGTATCCGCTTACAGAAGGTGGGTCATGGCTTGTGGTTTGGTGTTGATCCAGTGCCTGTCGTGACTGGTTGTAGGGGGACAGGGAGAAGTTAAGGGCTTCTCCAGGGTCTGAGCAGAAATTAGTGGGGTGAAGGTATGAGAGCCTTTACTCATCCCCTATTGTGGAGTTTATCGTCTCTATAATTTTTCTTGTGTTGTGCGATGGCTGCCTTGCAGTGCTGCAGGATTAATGCCGTTCCCCTGGGCTGAGGGTGACAAAGTGACCCTGAGTACCAGCAATAAGTGAAATCACCAGGTCAAATTCTGTTTTTTCAGTGGAATAAAGTGCAAAAACCCAAATCAACTGCAGTGGTGCGTGTGAAGAAGATGCTGTGGATGACTGCAAGGAGACAGTACAGCTGTCTTCTTGCTAGTAAATAAATCTGTGGTTCCTCTGAGGAAGGAAGGTTATGTGAACGGCTGGGATGCTCGTGTGGGGTTTGGGAAGGCACAGGCTCATTTTGATGCTGTACTGTTCTGCCTCCTCATCTTGGTTTTGCGTTTGCTAAATGTCGTGGGCTTGTGGTACAGCGCTAACGAAAATCGGATGAAGAGGTCTGGACAGCCTGGGTGCTGATGGGTCTGTCTCCATAAAGTGCTATAAATAACATTTGGGGCTTTGAATACAAAGATCTCTGACTCCAGAAGGCAAAATAAAAGACATGAAAGCATCTGAAACACAAAATATTAGGGCTTTAGCTTTTGAGCGATCTTCCTTTATACTGTTCCATTGTCATGAAACCCCTTTCTGACCATGGTTAGACAATGTTAGAGATGGCGAAACTGCCTTTTCTGGGAAAAGGAAGTTTTAATGAAGACAGATTGGGGCTGTTTCTGCTACTGTTGTTGCTGAATTCCAGTTTTCTTTCTGGAAGGAGAAAGGAAAACCCAGCCCCAAAGACAAGCACATATGAAAAGGAAAGAGAAAAGAAGAGCAAAGCCAGAAAACAGCTTCTGGAGCTGAGTCATGGTGAGGCCTCCATGCTGGAGACAGGCAGCTCCCTGCCTCAGCAGCTCCAGGAGAGCTCCACCATGGGCAAACTATTTAAGGCATTACTTTTTGTTGCCTTTTTGGTTGCAGGCTCAGAAATCCAGCTGCATAAATAAATAGCAATAGCAATGTAATCTTGGCTGACTAGATCAGATATATATATATATATATATATATATTTATACATAGCAGGCTAGGGAGAGAGAGAAGAATTAAGTTAAAGAAGGAACAGAAGACACTGGAGACAAAGGGAGAGCAGAAATGGGAATCAGGGCAGCACCTGGCATGTGCCCAGAGGTGATGGAGAAGGAAACATTATCTAGTCCTTTCCGGGCTGGATCTGGTCAGTAGTCAGGATGGGGGGGCTGAAGTAGCAGGATCTCAGGCAAAAACTTCAGGAAGCATTAGCACTTACTCAGGACCGATGGGAGTTCATCTTCACATCACTCTGGAGTGATGGATTTTTCAAAGGGAAGAATAAACAAAGCAGACTCTTTACATTGTTCATAATGTAATCTTGATTACATTTATTTTTATTCACCTCTGAAAATTACTACAGAATAAGAGACTCACACTCTGAAGCTTGCATTGATATAATTACTCTGTAACTAGTCCATAGTCATGATTTTTGCCAAGTTCTTATGTATGAACAATCTCCAAAATAGATATTCTGGCAAAGCCGTTAATAATTATGTATCAAAAAAAAAAAAAAAGATCTCAAATGTCTTGTCTGGTTGATACAGTATGTTTAGCACTGAACCATTGCTTCGTTAGTTAAAAATGTGTTTCAGGCAGCACAGGCAGTCTCTACTCTCTGCCCAGTGAAAGTGCTCCAAAACTTTCACCAAGACATAGACACAAATAATGAGTGCTGAGGCCATCTTCTCTTTGCTGAAGTACTTTGAAGCAACAATCAGATAAAGAAGATCAAGAGGTGATGGGAAATAATTAGAAGCTGTTAAGCTGGCTGTTACCTGGGCCCATGGATGCTGTGCTGTTCATGTCATTTCACTTTGGAAGGTCAGACTCACCAAAATAATTGCAAGCCAATCTCAGGGGCAATTATTGTTGTAACAAAATATCAGGCCTGTAATTTTCTTCATGAAGGGAAAGGGAAAAACACCATTTTGACTTTTTGCTGGTAACAGCATTTAATGGCACACAGGCAGTTTTTGAGGCAGTTCCTCCCTCCCTCTCCAGTCTTTCCTCCCCTCAGTTTCACAGACCATGAGGTTTCCAGGACTTATCCTCATCTAGTTGAGGTCCACGGCAGGAGCCTGCCCAAAAACATAATTGTTCTGGTCGTGGACATGGGTGCGCCCCTTGCTCACCTAAGATGAGATGGTCCAAATGCCCTCCTAGATGAAGGTTTAAATCTCTGTCATCCGTGTTCTCTGTTCATACTGCTGGAGTTTAGCCCACTCATGTGGGAGGAGGTGCTGATGCTGCCAGTGTTCAGCAACTCATTGACCAACCCATCCCAGGCTGTGAAACAGGATCAGAGGTTGCTCTGATCAGCAATGGCTGGTGGAAGCTGGGCTGAGACAGAGGGTTTGAGGTGCCCTTGTGCCCCCTCCCTGAGCCTCTGGTCACCCGATCCTGAGACTCTTCTTTCAGGACAGCCCCTGTTTGGGCATGGCTTGTCCCCTGGGGGTGATGTGGGTGAGCCCAGGTCATGGAAACAACCACTCTGTCCATGTAACTATTGTTGTATCCCGTTACCCACATCACAGGGAAAGTTTCCAAAGCCGAGCATAAGCTGTGCATGTGCAGGAGCTGTTTCTAAAACATAAATAGTGTGGCCATTAGCTGAGGCTTTTCCTTTTTTTGTTGTTGTTGCTCAAAGACAGTTCATATTATGTATTCAGTGTTTTTCAAATTAAACCATTATTTGTCCAGAGGTAGCCAAAAATGTAGCCAAAAAACCACCTCTGATTATTTTTGACCTCTCTAAGGCTAATAATCTGCTAAAACGTCTTTAAACCATCTTAAAGAAAACAGAAACACCACTGCTGACAACTCACATACCTACTTTTTAATGCAGTGTTATTTTAAATGGCTGCGTTTATAAACCTCTAAAGACTGAGGTTTGTAATAGAAATGCTGACAGATCCTTAACACTCCATCCCATAATAACAAAGTTTTGAGAAAGAATGGGGCTGTGGACACCACTGTCCCTGTTAGAGAGCTGGGAATTTCTTCCCCTCTTGTTGATTTAACTCGTGTAGCCAGAAAACTGTTTTTCCTGTGGATTCAGGGTGAGGATCGAATCGAGATAGCAGGACCCAGATGTTGTTATGGAATGGCTGAGAAGCTCAGCTCTGCCTCCATGATGGACTGTCCCCACCAGAATTTTCCCTTCTACATCCCCATTGCAAAAAAACTCACAGGAATAATGATGGGAAGGTGGTTTGGGGAGCTCTGCACAAAATGGACCACATTCCCAGCTGATGCAGATCAACTTCCGAGGTCTTCTGACTGTAGCCTCGCACAGGGAGTTTAGGGAAAGGTGTTAATCCCACAAAACTGCAGCATCTCTCAGGGACGGGTGCTTTTCAGACTTGCTCCCCACATAAGAAGCTCCTTATATGCAACTGGGTGGATATCTTTATCCTGCTCTCTGGCCTGTAACACTCCCTGAAGGGGAAGAAATGCTAAATGAGATTTATGTCCTCGGGAAGCAATGTGATAATTTGTGCTGTGCAGTGGCGAGGGGATGCTACCATATCATCATTAAATTAAGATGTGCAGGCCAGATGTGAAATCTTGATAAGGAGCTTTATAGGGCAGTGTGGCTCAGCTTGTGATTAACTTCACCGGCAGAGCAAGGAGAGCTGCAGGCAGCACAAAATGCCTCCATGTCCTCAAGTCATTATCTGGCTCTGATCGTGGGTTTATTTGATCTCTGCACCCTGTGATCTCACCCTTGCTCACCCAGGTCTCTCATAAAGAGCACCCACATACTCTGAAAAGTCCAGGCTGCTTAGAAACACAGATGGTGTGGTTTTGTTCATCCCACTGCCGTCAGGCTCTGTTTCCGAGGGTGTTCCTAGGGAAAGAGAGCTTTTGGAATATTGGTTTTCTTTTCTTTTATTTTTAAATCTGTCCATCTGGTTCTATCTCTTTTCCCTCCACAGAACTGGTAGATGTACACTGAATTTCTGTCGGTTTTATTACTGGACTTACAGTGCCGTAAAAAAAATAAAGGCCGTGGCTCAGGGAATGCAGGCAGGTATCTACACAGCGTTTGTCCAGGCACCCTGTGCATCGCTGCATCACCCTCCAAATTTTTGGTATGCCAGGAAGGAGAGCCAGGTACTCACAGGTACTTCACTCTGTGTAAAACCCCAGGAAAAGGGGAAAAGTTCCACAGAGCAGTGGCAACACCTGGGCTGTTCCTCCTGCAGCATGTCCAGGTCATGGGAACAAGCCTCCCCTGTTGTGTACGGTGGCTCCCAGCCCTGGGGTCCTGGGTGTTTGAGAAAGTCACAGATATTTCCACTGGGCTCTGGGTTTTTATGAACAGTGTGTGGCACAGATCAGGACAGACCAAATGAAACTGGGGGTTTTATGCCTTTGAAGATCACAGCCCCAGCTTTTTCTCCGTGTTTTCCCATGAAAAGTGGGAAGCAGCTCCGAAAGCTGCAAACAAGCCCTTGTTTGTTTTGGGCTTTACAACGAAGGGAACGGCAAAAGCTAATGAATTAACAGCCTCCCAAAAAAACGAGAGAGAGAGAAAAGTGGCACTGGAAGAATTCGTTCAGATATTAACTTGTGTCATTCTCCTATCTGCAGGGAAAGCACAGCATCCTCAGACCCATGGAAACCACAACACTGGGCCAAATCAGGAGCACATCTGTACATCACCAGTGTTTAAATGCAAGTTTTTCTTTTGCCATAAGCCTTTAAGCACCAAAGAGCAGAGGACTGCTTTTAGCTTGTTTTCCTGTAAACAGTGTCAGCATCACGACTGCTGGCGTGTGATGCCAAGCTATAATTTCAAGGATCTTGTTTATAATTTTGCAAAGATTTCAGCAGCAGGGCTGTATTTTTGACTATGTCTTCGGCTTGCCTCGCCACAGTCAAGCAGCTGGGATCACTGTATGTGTGTGTGGTCAAATTTACTGTGAAGCGATTAGGGTATTAAACAAAATGAAATAAACATGTAAATCTCAAAAACCATCTTGGAGTTGAGGTTTACTTCTATAGAAAGAATACAGATGGAAAAAGTAACATAAAATTAAAGACATTCCTAATGGCAGGCTTTTTTTTTTTTTTTCTCCCGTTGCCACTATTTTATTTTCAAGGAAAATAAATGCAAGGAAAATAATTTCAAGGAAAATAAATAGAAATTACATTTTTTTATAGAAAAAGTCATACGTCTCTAAGGAAAATGTTGTGGGATAGCAAAGCTTGTTTTAAATACTTTTATTGCTGTATGTATTTGTGTACTTGTCCATGTGACTGAAAATATTTAGGCAGGAAGAGAAAGAGAAGGAAGCTTTTATTGATTTTCTTTTTTGTCTTTTTGGTACCAAAAGTCATCAGCTACAGTCTTGGCTGGCCAAAAGTGATTTCAGCAGACTGACAGGGATCTGATATGATCTAATCTAATCGATCTATGGATGAGAAAAGCTTTTCTTTTCATGCCAGTTTGTTTGCTTAGCAAAAATGTGACTCCAAGAATGGCAGGGACCACCAGGAATAAAGGAAATATCCTTGAAAAGTCAAGTCCAGTTTTCTTTTGCTTTCTTTGGGTGGCCTGTTAATGATTCAGGTTTAATGAAGGGATTGGATTTTTAGTAGCACAGCTTTATCAGAACATTAATTATTTGTGACTCCTGCTGTTCCGTAGAGGACAGATCTTCTGCCTGGCATAAATTTGAAACTCAGTGTCTGGCTTTATTCTATTTCTGAAAAAGAAGTCCTCAACTTTCAAGTTTACCATTAAAGGAGGTTTCTAAATCCCTTTTGATCTTAGTTGTCACTTTTTAGCTCAAATTTCTTTTAAGAAAAGAAAATAAAAATATGTTTTTTATTTTAATGTTTGTTTTTAATTTGTTCATTGTATGGCATGTTATCTAGTGAGCAGATACATTTGAAAAGGAGAAATAGAGTTTCTCCCAAAAGAAAACTCAAAACATTTTATTAAAATGCTGAAATTTATTAAAATGCTGAATTATTAAAATTTATTACGATGCTGAAATTAACATTTTTTATTTTCTCACAACTTTGATTACTGCTTTGGTTTCTCCAAAATAAAATTCCATCTAGGTTTGGAAGCAGGCAGATACTCTCCTCCTTGCAGTTCCTATATCCACAGGTTAAGCTTTTCTGGAAATTGATAAAGATTGAATCTTTTTTGTTTAGTAGCATCTTTTTCTCTGTTATGCACCTCAGGGATCTCAAAGTTCTTCCAAGACATGACTTTTCAAAGCAAGCTGGTATTTTCTTTTCTGCCTTGACAGTTTTCTGGGCTGTAGATCCTCCCAGCTATGCTATTTTTTTGACAAATTTCTGCCTCCGTTCTGCTCTCCTCCCTGTTTTTTCTGCCAGATCTCTTACTTGCATCAGTGCTGTATGAAAACCTACTTGTGAAACATGTTCCTTGAGGTTTTTAATGAGATTTTTTTGGCTTAGACATGCCAATGATGGGCTCAGAAGAGTCTTTGGGTCTGATCTACTGCTTTTTTCTTTTCATCTTCATGGAAAGCCCTCCCCTTCTTGTTCCCATGCAATAAAAGGAGGGACATCTTTAATAACATGAAGTTAGGATGAAATTAAAAAAGAGTAAACTGGTTTTGTCATATATAGAATAATACATTCAAACTTCCTGGATTTTTTTTTTTTAATTTTCTTTTTTAGGAAAAAAGAAAAGATTAAATTTCTTTATTTTAAACCCATTGTTAATGTTGGATCCTTAATGTGCCTCTAAGAGAAGTACCGAAAATAGATATTAAATTTCATCTTACTGGATATGGGCTTGTTTATATGAGTTACCTCCCACAAATCCTTTGAAGGGAATCTACGTCTCTTCAGCTTCTACTCTGGCTTTTTTCATGTTCTTGCAGTGGGCTATCTTATATAGATGGCTTTGGTCAAAAGGTCAACAATTCTGACAAATATGTGTTGCTACATAAGTTGCCCCGGATTTGCATTTTCTGATGAATGAAAATATATATGCAGCCTAAATTTTTATCACAATTTTGGTACAGATATTTAAGACAAGCACTTAAAAAAAAAAAAAAAAGCAAAAGTTATAATTTCTCTTGCTATTTTGGTCTGATGGAAAATAGCCTGGCGTGTCAAATATGTGTGTGAATTCTCTTTGAGTTATCTTGGACCTCGTACCCAGCCTTTGGTGGTTCTTTTGCCTTTCTCATTTTCTTTAAAAAAATATTTTAACACCTGACATTTCTGCTGTTTAGGCATTGAGACAGTGGTAACTTTTGAACTTTTTGATATGCTGGATGGAGGGAATTCCTTAAATTTCTTTGGTTCTCAAGTAATTTCATCACTGCTGTCTGTCCATCTTAAAAAGATTTTAGGTCTCAGCTATAGCAGCCAGAGTTCAGAAAAGGGAAAGAAGCGAAAGTCTGAAGTCTGGGCTTGAAGCACACGGGTGTCTTAATAGATCTGAATCCCATTTTCCCTCTGGAATTGATCCAGCCTCATTTCCATAATGTCCCTTTCACTCATGCTTTTTCAAGAGGAATATTTTGAATATGAATATTTACATGTGTATGCAGTTTTCAGTAACACTTGCAAATGAAAAATTCGGACTGGCATAATGGAGAGAATTTTTTCTGGAGAAAATTAGCTCCCCCTTTCTTCAGCCTTGGATATGAATTTTGCGATCTTGTGACAATTTGGGAGTTATTTAGAAGTCTCATTCAGTTACTTGGTTTTGTTTCCTTTCCTTCTTTTTCCTAACGTTTTTGCTGCTTTGTTCTCTGAGAACCAATTGCACTGCAGTGACTTTTTTTTCAGGAAAAATCAAACACAGGCTTTAATGGGAAAAAATGATAAAACACATTTTAACAACCGAGGGAATGTTTTGGGGAACCCGATCTCCTGAAATTTCTAGGTTAAACTGTTTTGGGTACACTTGAATAAGTATCCATCCATCTCTCCAAGGAGTTCATCCCCTGGGGAAGAAGTGTAGCATGTCCTCTGAAAACCACTTTTGCCAGAACCTGAAGCTCATCGGTGCTAGTTTAGGATTTGGTTACAAACTCCAGTGCAGGTGCACAGGTCGGCAGATGCTGACAAATGGATTAATTTAGCTTCGGTCAATGTGATGTTTTTTCAAGGGAACACAACAAGGAGAGCTCTAATACCTGTGTGCGACTTGGGGTAAGACATGAAGAACAAGGCTGTTATGTCTAAAATCAGGTTTCATATTTTAGGCTTGTTGGAAGCTAAAATTTATGCTGACATCTTGGGTGATTCAGGGCCACATAAATAAAAAAAAAAAATTTCTTCCTCAGGGGAAGGGGTTGTGATCTATGAATGCCCCAGTTTTGTGCTGTTCTGTCATGGGTCCCTTACTTACCATCTCTGCTTACTTACCATCTCTTACTTACAGTCTCTGCTTAGGAGAGATATTTAAAAATAAGATCTTTGAAATCGTAAGCATCAAGTTTATTTTTTTTTCTGGAATAAACCAAGTGCTGCTTTCATTCTGGTTGTGTTGATTAACCATGTATTTGGTATTCTCCATTACATACTCAGTGTCTAATAGACTAACTGGTCTCCAATGGACTACTCGAAATTAAATACATTGAGGCTTTCCAATTAAATATATTAGATATCTAAACAATATTGCAGTAATATTTTCATGTAGAGACGTGTCAGTTACTCAGATCCAAGTCCAAGCAGATAATTTATTTTATTTTGTTGTTTATCCTCTGTCCTCCCATCTTCCAGATTTGTGTTCCTGCAGAAGATAATCCTGTGATAAACCACAGACTTAAATATACATAAATAAATATATGTCTTTACCCCTAGAGAGATCAGGCTGTCTTTATCTTCATGCAGAACTCTGTTTCCTCTTTCTCTGCCCAGATATCCATCCAGATAGATGGGTATGAAAGAACTTAAAATTAATTTACTGTTCTGCAGGAATTACTGAGAACTGTGAAAAACATGCTCCTTGTAATAAAGAATAAGGCTTTTGTAAGCCTTTCATGTTATAAGCATATGAAAGTGTGTATCAGGTTATTTCAGGGAATGGCAAAATGGATGAGCCAATGTGGAGAACATAAACTCCCACTTTTGCAAATCCGGAATCACTCTCGTGTGGTGTTGGTCAGATCCGGGATAGATTTGGTCCTCATCTATTAAAAATTTTATTAAAAAGGGCAGCAAAGCGTAATAATGGTAACAGAAGCGAGACCACATCTCTGGTTTCCCAGCTACCTCACAGCACATTTAATCCAGGAGGATGCCATGTCATCCTCTCCCGCAGCACAGAGGCAAAGCAGATCCTCAGCAAGGGAAAAGACATGCTGAAAATATCTGCCTTACTGTCGTACTTTGTACCTTGTGACCCCGCCGTTACCAGACTCCCGCGGCCTCCATTGTCTCCTGCCCTGCTCCCCATTGTTCCCTTGCAATTGGAGATGGTGCACACAGCATGGGTTGATACTGTTCACTGCATGACATAATTTAGGTCAATCAGCATCAGTTACACCATCTGGAAAGGGAATGGCTTCTTAATACTTCATCACTGGAGGTCTCAGTTCCCTGCATACAGTGGTCTTCCTTCAGCGAGTAGAACACTGGTAGCAAAGATCTAGCAGGGAGCTGTAGTCATGCTTCAGGGTTGGTTTTGTGGGCTTACAAAAGTTCAGGAGCCCCAGAGA